AGGGCAGCACTGAGGGTGGATCAGGTGGAAGGAAAGAATCTCTTGGGTCCTCATCCTCGCCCCGTGAAGTGCTGTCTTGCACCCAGGTGGGGAGGGTGACTAGGTAGGTAGGTAGGTAGGTAGGTAAGATATCATCACTTCAGGGAGGGGGGCGATGATAACTTCCTCAATGGTTCAAGGGGGCATTTCTTTCAAAAAGGTTAAGAAGCACTGGTTTAAAATGTCAGAGAAAATCTTGGTGTTTGCCAAAAGTGTAAACTGTTGCCAGTGGAAGCACACCAGATATGCTCAGTGATGACCTAGGCTTGATTATAAGTAATTGTTTTTCTTGTTTGTGTTACTCACATTTTAAAAAATTATGTATTAATTTATTGCTTTATTTCTTTAGTTAATTAGTCAGTCAGTCAGTCAGTTAGTTAGTTTTGGCAACTGGGCATTTGGAGAATTTGTTATTTTCATGCCAAGAACTTGCCTCAATAACTAATTCATTCTTGCTCAAACATATCAGTAACCACATTTACAGATATGTGTTGCTCGTAAGAATGATACAAAGGATATTTTATACTGCTTTCCTCTACACACGATCAAAGAGGATTTGATTCTAGGCCCCTAAAGATGATTTGAGTTTCAATATTACACCCAATACTGTTGAAAGCACAAAATGGTTGCACAAAATAGAGGAACTGAACTGTCCCACACTTACTAACTGTGCCCTGCCCTGCCCCCCTCATTCCATCCATGTACTGGGCTTCATGTCCATATTGAACAGCCCAGGTAAGGACATTCTCACTGTGAAGTCTAGAGCGCATCTAAATGGTTTTTAGTGGTTTGGCAGCTGAAGGAAAAGGAAAAGCCTGTGTGCAGCATCTTAACAGGTCAAAATTAGTAAAGAAGAAGAAGAAGAAGAAGAAGAAGAAGAAGAAGAAGAAGAAGAAGAAGAAGAAGAAGAAGAAGAAGAAGAAGAAGAAGAAGAAGAAGAAGAAGAAGAAGAAGAAGAAGAAGAAGAAGATATGAGAGACAGACCCTTCGGAACCCTTGGTATATCTCAGAGGGGGAAGGACATGTTAGGACAGGGCTTCATATTCACTAAGATTTTGTATAACTAACCTTTCCCAAAACTCTGCATCCCTGGTAGATAACAAAGATCTTTATAAAAGGACTCCCCAGGCCTAAAGCCTAGTACTTCTTTATAAAGACACACACCTCTGTTGTGCATAAAGGCTTGTGATATTCCTAGAAGAGTAAATGTTGGCCTTTTAGTGTGGATGGCTTGAAAACAGCACTCACTTGATGACCTAGTTTGAGAGTCTTAAATTTGAAAGGTCCCTCATTGCTGGACTCACAATCAAGATAGTCAGAATTTAGAACCAGCTTATGAATAGGTTGTGCTATTGACTCTCTTGACTCCAGTTTAAGTCTCTGTCTTTAAGTCACCGTTGGAAGTTGGACCTATGATAGGCATAGGAGATCACACATCTACAGCCCAGGATGCACAGATCTAATATCTGAAATCCAGTAGTAGGATGCAAGAAGAGTAATGTCACTGGATTTGGTGAGTTAACATTTCTGTGATTTCCGTTGATTCAGTGGACATACTGTAGCAAATTACTACAATCTAACATGCAGTTGGATCCTGCAAATTGTTTCAGTATGAATATCCCTTCAATTCTGATCTAACATTTACAGAACACTAAAATTGTAAGATATGACGCTGGAAGATGAGCTCCTCAGGTTGGAAAGCATCCAACATGCTACTGAGGAAGAGCAGAGGACAAGTACAAGTAGCTCCAGAGCTAATGAAGTGTTTGGGTCAAAGCCGAAAGGACGCTCAGCTGCAGACACGCCTGGAAGTGAAAGGAAAGTCCGATGCTGCAAAGAAAAATACTGCATAGGAACCTGGAATGTAAGATCTATGAACCTTAGGAAGCTAAATGTGGTCAAACAGGAGATGGCAAGAATAAGCATTGACGTTGTGGGCGTCAGTGAACTAATATGGACGGGAATGGGCGAATTCAATTCAGATGATTATCATATCTACTATTGTGGGCAAGAATCCCGTAGAAGAAATGGAGTAGCCCTCATAGTCAACAAAAGAGTGGGAAAAGCTGTACAGGGATACAATCTCAAAAATGACAAAATGATTTCAATACGAATCCAAGGCACAACTTTCAACATTACAGTATCCAAGTTTATGCATCAACCACCAATGCTGAGGAGACTGAAATTGACCAATTCTATGAAGACTTATAACACCTTCTAGAATTGACACCAAAGAAAGATGTTCTTCTCATTATAGGGGACTGGAATGCTAAAGTAGGGAGTCAAGAGATAAAAGGAACAACAGGTAGGCTTGGCCTTGGAGTTCAAAATTGAGCAGGGCAAAGGCTAATAGAGTTTTGACAAGAGAACAAGCTGGTCATCACAAACACTCTTTTCCAACAACACAAGAGGTGACTCTACACATGGACATCACCAGATGGGCAATACTAAAATCAGATTGATTATATTATCTGCAGCCAAAGATGGAGAAGCTCTATACAGTCAGCAAAAACAAGACCTGGAGCTCACTGTGGCTGTGACCAATAAAAACCATCCCAAAGAAAAGGAAATGCAAGAAAGCAAAGTAACTATCCAATGAGGACTTACAAATAACAGAAAAGAGATGGGAAACTAAATGCAAGGGAGACAGAGAAAGTTACAGAAAATTGAATGCAGACTTCCAAAGAATAGCAAGGA